TTTCGCTTCGCAGTAGAGAGCGATGAGTTTGTCAAATGAAAAAGTCGTTTCTCATGCAAAAATGCGTCGATTGAACCTACTTTCATTGACAGGTGAGGGGCCTAAACTGAATAATTACTGAGAGCAAAACTTTTTCTCTTTCAGAAAAGCTAAAAATGTGGCATTACTTGCGACTAATAAAGAAATAACATCCAACACAACTACAGCTTGCATTGCACGAGGATATCATAACATCTCACGTGAATAACCGTTATAGAAATATCATACTAAGAATCATTGATAATTACTTATTTTCAGTATTAAAAATACTGGATAATAAGTAATTATTAATGATTCTTAGTATGATATTTCTATAAGGGAAGTTAACATTAAATTTATGATTAATAACATTTGCGGTAGTTCATGTAACATTCCTATTATAGGTGATAACTTGTAGTTATTAAAAATAATATATATAAACAGATTAAGAGATAAACAGTAATAAACAGTAATATATATAAGTAGTAGTATATATAAGTAATATATATAAGTAATATATATAAGTAATATATATAAGTAATATATATAAGTAGTAAGATAAACAGTAACATATATAAACAGAATAACAGATAAACAGTTATGAATACTCATAACAATATCAGTAAATATCTGTTAGTTGTAATACCTGATTGAATAATATAGGTTTTATACAACCTGTGTATTATACAATAAACTGAGAGATATTCCAATTCATATAAAAAATCTGAAAAAATTGTGAGAATTTTCTGAGATTCTGAGAAATCTTTCCAAAGATATATTTATTGTATTTGGTGTAATTCTATTTTGTATAATTTCAGTTATAATGTCTACATTATATTGATAATTGTTTACTATGTATATAAATTATATATCTTGACTTACTAAGCACATTTTGTACTAATTATATATTTATTGATATGCATATTAAGTAAGCAATATAAATTTAGTCATTATTATAATCAAAAACATTCTCCCAGATATATCCAGACTATCTACCATAATCATCACTAATATATTTTGTAAAATATACGTGCGATATATCTTCCGGGGTTTTCCTGTACACGGCAATAATCAGATATCTCAGGGATATTATACAAATATATTTCGTTACAATATGCGATATCTATACGTGTTCGTAACTGCGGACATTAGTTTATTCTAGTAATATCTCTCATATATCCATAATTTCTATGGGATATCTGTAGGATATTACAATATCCCGGCAGGATATTTTTAGGAAATTCCACAGATTTCTCTTTACTGTGTGGATTATATCAAATCTTGCTGCCAAATTGCCGCCAGATATGCGGCAGAGCTTGATGTCGGAAAATTGCTGCATATTTGCAGCAAAAACCGTGCAGAGCTTGTAGCGATTTCCCTTATAGAAATTTAATACTGATAAGTGATAATTTGGCCACAGCGATAATTACTGTCGTTCAATAATTTTATTACTCGTACGAGTAATAAAATTACTATTTATTACTGGCCAATTTATCACAGCCAGTGATACTTTTCTATAAGGGTTGACGGCAGATTGGCGGCAGAAACCGTGCAGACCTTGCTGCGCGGTTTTTGCTGCAAATTTGGCACCAATTGCCCGACAGCAAAATCTGTCGCCAAAACCGTAGCCTAATTTAGACACAAATGGCTATGGTTTTGTTGTGGGTTTTTGATCAAATTTGCTGCCAATCTGCGCGCAGTCTGCGCTCAGTTTGTTTACTGGGAATGTTGCTGCAATATTGACATTGTTGCAATTCAACATTTTTTCAACATTGATTCAACATTGCTGTATGGGTATTTTATGGTATGATTAAACCTCCGCAATAAAACTTACGTATTCGTAACTATTTCAAGAATAAGGTAGTATATATTTCAGTGTTGTAGAAAGCCCATTATACCTTATAACGTCTTATGACCCGATTTTGGACATTGTGCTGCCTGGATTACTATATCTATTGTAGATCGAGACTAATCCATTTGTGCCGTGTGACAAATGTTGCTGCGTCCTATATGTAAAAGCCATTAAAAGAAAAAAATATTGTGACACCGCGGTTTGCCGCCGCCGCCATCAAATCTGCACACGCCGATCCGTCACCGTCGATAACGACAATTTTCGGCGACGCCGCCGCCGCTAACCAATTTTAGTTCCGACGCCGCCGCCAATATTAAATGTAACGGCACAAAGGTCTAATATTATGGTCGAGTTTTTTAATTCATCGATCCATCGCATGATGCGCAAATGCAGCGTTTTGCTATATTTACGCATCATGCGATGGATTCATCGATGAATTAAAAAACTCGCTCAATGCTAGCTATTCTCGCTTGAAGTTGGCTGCTAATATAAAATCAAGGTTGAGAACTTCGGACACGTTGAGAACATTAGATATGTTTAAATGATAATTAATAATTAATAACATGTTCTGAGATAATGATGGAGCATATAATTACGCCAGGCATACAAGATATATCCTACTTGGAACGACAATTTCGTGAAAAATTGTACGAACTACAAAACAATACGGTAAATTCGAATACTATATTGAGTAACATTTATAGCACATTTATACTGCAATTCTAGACAAAATCGTGAAACTCGTAACTTATTCTCGTAAGACTCGTGAGAACTTATGAGTAGATATGCAATTCTATGTCATATGATAACTCGTAAATATCTAAAATTTTTTTTTTTTTCGTAAGCTACGACTTTACGATTTTACAATTTACTCGTATATTTGCTTATAATTGCAGCATTAATTTTTTTATGCTGAACCTGCACGTACATATTATATTTATAGAATTTTCTCTTTTTATAAAAGTAGTGCGAAAATAAATATCTATGTTTAAATCTAAATCTCTCTAAATTTGAGATCTTTGGATATTCGTGGAACGAATAAGAATTACTTAAAATTGTGATGCAATTAGCTCGAATTAAATCGACAATTGCGGGAGAGATGTGAACGGTTTTCTTATCAATATTTTATTTACACTTTAAAGTGAAATTTTGAAAATGAAATTTTATTTACACTTTTAAAATAATTTTTCTGATATTTCAATGGTATTTGATATATAGGAATTTATACAAAACAAAGGATTGAATGATATGAGTCCCAGACAGCACACAATATTTACAAAATATTTTAGAAATATAGATATTAAATATTTTATAAATATTCTAATGTCCGAGATTTTCAGGTATGAAAAAGATTGATAAATATTTAAAAATATTTATGAAACATTTATCGTAAATCTTTCATAAATTATAATCTTTTTTATAAAAATATTTATGAAAAATGTTTTTCATAAATATTTTTAAATATTTATTATAATCTTTTTTATACCTGAAAATCTCGGACATTTAAATATTTATAAAATATTTAATATCTATATTTCTGAACTATTTTGTAAATATTGTGTGTTGTCTGGGGTAGTCTTAGGTTTTGTTGTTTCGACCAAATAACTTTTGGCTTAGCTTTTTTCAAGAAAAAAAAGAAAATTATTTCCTGTTTACAAAACTAAGCATTATTAGGGCGGTTAACTGAATTATTATGGTCTCGGTTAGGATGCCTTACGTGTGATGCAGAAAGAACTCTTGGACACTCGTCATGCTTTGTATAGTACAGAATTGCAGTTGGAGAAAGAGCGTGGTGTCTCTTATGAACTAAAAATTCAGTTGAAAGCGGCTATGGACGCAGTGAATCAATTAGAACAGCAGCAAGTGAAAAATCAAACCGAGAGCGTTCAGTTACAAGTAAAATACGAAGTCATGTCGAGACAATTTGATTCTCTTATGAATCAAGCTACGAGCATAAAAGTACGAGAAACCGAATATAAGATGAAAATTCAAAGCCTAAAAGAGACTTTACGTCAAAAGGACATAACTAATAAAATGTTGAAACAAACGTTAAAGGACATTGAATGTAATAATTTGCATACTATTAACACTATTGATCAGTAAGTTTGATTGCACGCATCACGAATTCAGAAGAAAATTTTTCTATTGCCATATAATACTGTAAAATATTACGTATTGTTTTATATTAAGTTTACACACACACACACATATATATATATATATTTTTTTTTTAACTCTTATCTTCTAAAATGTTTTGAGTGAAATTTTACTCGAAAAGTAAAGTCACCACTGAATCACTCATATTCGAATGATATTTCACTCATACAGAGTAAATTTTCCACTGAAAAATTGACTGAATCGAATCTTCACTCGAAATTGAGGTGTATCTCAGGTAGCAAAGTGACGTCTTTAGACGTCACCTTACTTCCTGGGATATTTAATGTATTCCACTGTCGTGGGAACATGATCGTTTGAAATATTCGTTCATATGGAATCAGAATCCACTTTAAGCTAAAATGAAATATTCACTCTTGCCATTTCGAGTGGTGGTATTTTCACTACCCAGACAGCATAAGATCTCCTGAGACGTCCTCAGGACGAAGAAATGTCCTCAGGACTTTCTCAGGATGTACACTGGATGTCCCCTGGATATCTATGCTGTTAGGGTATCGCCCCTAGTGGAAATATTATTACATTCCTTCACACATTTTGAATAAAATTTCACTCCAAAAAAGTTAGAGAATATCTTAATTATAGTAACATTATAAACTTGGATATATATAAAATAGACTGGTACGTTAGTTAAATTTACTAATTTTTCAGCAATATCGCGAAACTTGCACAGGAGCATCAACACCTGACAAAATCTTGCGAGGCGATGATTAGTTTCAACCAACGTTTACAAACCGTGTGTCTGTGTACACATGCAATACATAAAAAAAGATACGATAAAAATTAACAATTTGGAACGTATAACTTCGCAACCGTCAATCGAAAGTGTAACTTCTGCAGTCACACTTATTCGAAAATAGTAAAATCAGTAATCACGTAAAAGGAAGTGGGATAGGAGTTCATAAATGAATGTATTGACACGTATACATATATATGTACAGGATTAATAAAAAATGTATTATAATAATCGTCTTTAAGTATAAGTTGAACAAGTTCAGATGATAAAAATGCAAATTTAAAAAGATGCATATGATAATCAACGAATAAAATATATTCTTTTTATCGTAGGTCTTCTGTAAACAAAGCTCACATGCAAAGTAATATCATCAAAAAGTAAGTTTCGCGTACTTATATACCCATATTCTTATTTTTCTTGCAGACCTAATAAAAATTCTAAGATTATCTTGTGATATAACAAAATTGTCTATATAAAATTCTTGTTCAATTCGTCACAAGGCATTTTAATTACATCAGTTAATGCTCTAATATATGTTACGTTTTCTCGTTAATTTTGTGAAAAAGCTATTTTGCTTAATAACAGTATAAAAACGGTCGTGATACCTATACTGCTTAATCTTACATTTATATGTGTTTTTTACTTTTAGTCATTATGTGTATGTGATGTTGCACGGTGATGTATGTTTATATATATATATATATATATATATATATATATATATATATATATATAT